GGCGCCTACAAATTGTGAAAACACAGTATGTTTTCAAAGGTTATTTGAAGGACTATTACTGTTAAATGCACTCTAATTCATTATTAATTCTAATGTTCAGAGAGATAACTTAACTTTATTACCATGTCGACCAAAATTTTGAAATCGGCTATTTCAAAATATATTTATACGAAACTTTGCAGTTAGTATGAACGAGTTACTATTGTTAGTCAAGTTTTTTAACTGTAAAAATGTTTTTATTTTACAGACTAAACAAACTTCTGTAAAGGATTATAGAAGTGGGACCAAGAGATGGATTACAAAATGAACCAAAAATTTTATCAACAGATATTAAAGTTGAATTTATTAATCTTTTATCAGAAACTGTCTTAAATCCATTGAAGCAACAAGGTGAATTATTGAATATTTAAATAAAAGTTATGAATTATATTACAAGCACATTATTATTATAAACAGAATATTAACATTACATATTTGTTGATTATACATTTTCTTTCGGAATAGATCTTTCCATGATTATTATTTATTTATTTAATCAGCTTTTTGTATATAGTTTGGTTAGTCCAAAATGGGTTTCGCAAAATGGCAGATAATAGTGATGTTTAGGTGCCATAAATCGTCATCCTGGAGTAGCTTATCCTGTATTAGTACCAAATTTAAAGGCTTTAATAGTGCTGTATGTTATATAATTTGTCTGCAGAGTTACAAAAGTTGTTATTATGTTGATTGTTGATTGTATTTTTTAGCTGAATTCAAAAGCCAATGAAATTGCAGTGTTTGGAGCTGTTCAGAAAGCTTTTCACAAAAAAATGTTAACTGTTCTGTTATAGAAAGCATATAGAAAGGTATTTATTTATTGTTACATATTAATAAATTATCTTTGTATTGGGGACTTAAAATTTTTTTTACATAGGTTCCGTGAAGTTATGAAAGCTGCAAAAGAGAATTAATATCAAAGTACGTGGTTTTATGTTTCATGTATTGTAGGATGTCCATATGAGGGTCCAATTATTAAACCTTCTGCCGTAGCGCTAAAGTTACGAGGCTTTGTTTGAAATGGGGTGTTATGAAGTATCACTAGGAGATACAATTGGTGTTGGAACACCTGGAACCACTAAACCTATGCTAGAAGAAGTTCTTAAAATAGCTCCTGCTGAATCACTTGCAGTTCATTATCATGACACTTATGGACAAGCACTAGCAAATATATTATGTTCACTAGAGGTGAGTATCAAGCGAGGTTAGATGTAATACTTCAAATCTTTTGTTTTACATATACGAATAACATATAAATATTTCTAAACAAAATGTTATTTTAGTATGGAATTTCTGTTGTGGACTCGTCAGTTTCTGGGCTAGGTGGATGTCCATATGCTCGAGGTGCATCTGGTATGCAGCCACTGAAGCTGTTGTATATATGTTAGAAGGGTGTGGTGCGCACACAGGTGTTGACTTAGATAAATTAATAACTGCTGGTGGTAGATTTATTTGTGATGCTTTAGGACGTGTGAGAGGGATCTAAAGTTAATCTTGCAAAACGGGAAAATCTCTTAAATGCTAAATGAAAGTAATATATTGAAATTTAAAACATATTTATTGTAATATTTTATATTTTTTTATATAAAATATAAAACAAAAAGTAAGTCTGCTTAATATTATATTAAATGTATTTAATATATAAATCACTGTAAATTTAAATTACTGTAGATATTGTAGGCATTATGTATTGTTTGAAGTCTATGTATAGATCAAAAATTATATGAGGGGCAGTGTTGTTGCCCTTTTAAATGTGCGTACAAGTTTTATTTGTTCCCTTAAGAAAAAGTAAGTTTAAATTACCCACATTGGAAAACAATAGAAAACGTCTTTCTACCAAAGTAAAAAAAGTAATATTTTTATGCATAGATAAAAGAAGAGTATATATATATATGTTTTTATGTATGTACATATGATATAATTTAAATATAAAGTTAAACATAACTTTACAAAATTCATCATATTTGAATAATTTAAAAACATATCACATATGGTTTAAGTTAAATAAAAATTATTTTCTCATAATTAATCATTACGATCAAATCAGTGGAAATATTGAAAGCGATAATTTATATAATATTCGAAAATGAACTATTTACCGCGTACTTTTCCGTTTTCACGTCGGATTAGATTAAGCTCACATGGTAGCGTTTCCTATAAATCTGACGCAATTGACATCTGTCAAATGCTTTAATTGTATAAATTATTTTATTCGTCATGTTTTAATATATTTTGTGCTTGACGTTTTAAACAAGCAAGATATGTAGTATGTGCAAAATGTCAATCGAGGATAACAATATTCATTTCGCAACTGACGCTCAATCTGAGCCCCCTAGAAGTAAATTATATCCAACAGCACCACAGGTTGGATTTAACTAACCATCGTTTTAAATTATTTCTTGTTAATATGTTATGCATTTTAGAAAATCAATAATGAATCAGGTGTTACGAATTTAGTACAAAATAGTGATAATGATGATGCTCCAGTTAGGCCAGCAAGGAAAAAAAAAAACAATCAAATAAATAATTAATGAATATTGAACAGAACATTGGAGAAAATGATAATGTGAATGGTGAGAATAGTATAAAATATACATATTATACTTTATTGCTCAAAGAGTACAAATTCATTGCTTCTTTATTGAAATATCATATCTTTAACTACTTTTTCAATTCTCATCAAGAGAATATTAAATTGTTTGAGTTTAAGAATTCAATAATCAGTTGTTTAGATACTTGTGGCTTTTATTTGTCACCAGGGCATGCATCTGACATCAATATGGTATTACTTATGAATAGTCTGTTTCGATTTTAAAGATTTCTTGTTTAAATTGAATACATTAAAAATTAGTATTTAAATTCAGAAATAATTTACAGGTACAGATTTGTTTACTTAATATTACTTATTTTCAGCTTCAGGGGTAAATAATGTAATAAACATAGTAAATTCAAAGCATGTCCATATTGGAGGTCTAGTTAATATTAATGTCAATGAAGGTGATGAAAAATATAAAAAAAGAAAAAATAAAAAGTATCGAAAAAGTAATATAGCAACCTCAATACAGGAAGATGAGACTGTAAAAGCTCTCATGTCGTCTGATGAAAAGTGCACGAGGGTGCACATGGAAATCATAAAAAAACATATAGGAAAGAACTGGAGGAATGTCTTTAGAAAACTTGATTATTCAAATGGAGAAATAGAACAGCTTTATATAGATTATATTAATGAAGGCATTTCAGAGGTAATTGCATGGAACTGCATCACATTTTGCACTTTTTTGTATAATAATAAATGCGTGTTCTCCTGTGAGCTGAGTTAAACTCTAAATCGATTTGGGCAATTTTATAGTGATATATTTTTCCGGTTCTTACAGGAAATTTTCTAATAGAAAAAAATTGATACACTACCTTATTGTACCAACTACAATATTTATATATTATATATTATACAAGATTTATGATGTGTGTTTGTCACTTTCTTATTTAAAGTTTGAGCATGTGTAGATTTTTGAGTTAGACATTTGAAATTGTGATATGTCTTATCTTCAGTGTGCAATTAAATTATTTTATAAGTATATAATTAAATTATTTTAGTTATAAGAGAGAAAAGAGCAAACATTTGTCACAAGGTTGACACACTTCTGACTATATGAACTTACGTGCATCTATAAATGTACTTGTGTAAATCTATAAAACTCCAGCAATAATGATACATATATATTATATTAAACAAAGGATTTAAAGTAGAGTTTTAATAATCATTTATTGAAAATTGTTTTTTTTTAATTGACTTGTTTTAAAATTTATAATTTATATTAGAAATGGTATAACCATAATTATGTATTGGTTTTAAAACTTGGCTATAATTATATTTTAGGTAATCCATCAGGGCCTAGTAGATTGGACCCAAAACAATCCAGATGAGGCTACTTTAGGTAAAATCTGTACTGTTCTCTGGGAAGAAAATTGTTGTGATGTGATTGAAAGGCTTATAAATTAAAATTTTTATCAAAATGTGTAAGTAATATTTTAGTGTTTATTAAAAATTTGATCTCTTGAAGATGGTGTATAATCCTAATGAATGATGCACTAATGTGAAAATCTATTGTAATGCATGTATACATTTTGTTTATTGTTAATTTCAAATTATTATTATTATTTTTTTTTAAATATCACTGTTATTGTATAAGTGTTCAGTTAAGTGATGGCAATAATTTTAGCAGATAAGTATTAAGTTTAAAGAAAATAGAACATTTTGAACTAATACAAAATACATTATAAGTAATTATTATTATACATTACAATCAAATATTCAAAATTATGCTATTATTATATTTAAGAGAAATATGTTTTATATTTGCATGTACATAACATGATGAAAATATTAATGTAAATAAAATAAACCAAAACACTTTTCTATTTATAATAAATAATAAATAATTTGTAAATGAACACGAAATAATGACAAAAAAATGTAATAAATATGCCGTATTTAAAATTTTAAACAAAAAATCTTTCAATTTAATATAATTTCATTTAGGCTATATGACACATTTTTTTAAAATGACAAGTGCCCGTAGATAGATTCAATATTTATACTTGTTAACTTCCCTTATCGCAGGTTATAGTAATCATAAAAAAATCGAAAATGAAAATTTTTATATATCTTGACGTTTCAAAGGTTTCTGAACATTTTGGCATACCTTAGAAAAAATGGATGTGTGCGTGTGGATACAAAATTTTTGTCGACAATTTCGGAAACACGGATCGACCGATTTGAATAATTCAAAAAACATTCGATTCGTGTTGATAAGAAGACGTGCTGATTAGTTTTTGGCGTAGGCAGGTCTGGCCGTTCCGAAGATACGGTGCAAAAAGTGCCAAAAACGGTAACTCAGTTTTTAAGAGAACGAAGCGTCCGACTTTAATAATTTCAAAAACAGTTTACTTGTTTGACAAGATAAAAAAACTGATTAAATTTTTGGGAAGGCAGGTCTAGCGGTTATGGACTCTCAATAAAAATAAGTTTAAAAAACACCTTTTGGCGGTCAAAAATGATCATCAGACATATGCACATCAAATTATCAGATATTTTATAGAGATTTTAATAATGTGTACCCATTTTGTGTAAAATTTTTTTGGGTTCCAAACGGTACGGGAAGGTCCAGCAATTTGCCACTAGTTTATCTATGAATAGATTATTAAATATGATGTTAAAAGTAGCAGTTGCGCTTGAATTTTTCAACAGCAAATAAATCACCCTCGCAGAGCCGCTGATCACGAATGGTTTACGTGGTTTACGTGCGTGATACTGTGCTGTGATACTCCTGTGATACTGATATTTTGATACTGTGACATCAACTAATAGTGATAAGACCACGTGTACATCGCCGCCGGCCTGTCAAAACATATTTTGACGCGACTGTAAATCGACGATAAATTTATCACAATATTAAAATAGAAATAATTATTTCTATAATAAATAAAAGGACAAATTATAATTGTTCTTCTAATTCTTAATATTTTAGAAAGATTTTTATATCAATTTAAGTAATATGAATCTAAAGATAATTAGCTTTGATGTTAAGGATATAAGGTTTCCGACTTCTTTACGTCAAGATGGATCAGATGCCATGGTAATTTAATAAAAACAACTAATTGTATAGCTTTTTTACAATTTAATACTATAGTTTCTTTAAAAATATATCTGTGTAGATAATTGACATTGAATTGTAGACATTATCGCGTAAAATATGAGAAATTTATCGCTCGTCATGTTGATAAGTAATAGCTAATAACAACTTCTTTTAACAATTTTGTTAGATTAATATGCCATGTAATTTTTACATTTATTAGAAATGGTTTTTACTGAACATTAATTTTATATTACTATATTTTGAGAAAATTTTATTTATAATTATTTTGCAGATTAAATATAAATATTATGTGCTTATATTTGACAGTGGTAAATATCCTTTCTTCTAGTCCATTTTTTAATTTAGCATGCAGATCCTGATTACTCTTGTGCTTACGTAACTTTAACAACATTATCTGGCCTTGTTGGAAATGGATTGACATTTACTCTTGGTCGAGGCACAGATTTGGTAGTGCATGCAATTCAATTGATGAGATACCAAGTCATTGAAAAAGATGCGCGAGACATATTCAATAACTTCAGTTCATTTTGGAGAGAAATAACAAGCAGTTCACAAATGAGATGGGTATGTATGTGCTAAATGAAATAAAATGATAAAACTTGCGCTAAATGAATTTGAAATGTTTTAATAAAAAATAATTTTATTTTTATAACTTATTGTATAGAATTAATATTGCTTGCAGATCGGGCCTGAAAAAGGAGTTGTGCATTTAGCTGTTGCCGCAATAATTAATGCATTATGGGATTTATGGGCAAAATGTGAAGAAAAACCATTATGGAAGCTTTTATCAGAAATGGATCCTGAGGTCAGTTATATTGTCAGTAGATGTTAAACAATAATGCACTGCATTATTACGTATATAAACTAGTGGTACTTTCCATACTGAAAAGAAAATTATTTATAAAAGCTTTAACATTTTTTGAAAATTTTGAAAAGATTAAATTTTTGAGAATTTGGAAATTTTTGAAAAAAATGTTTTTTTTATATTTTGAATTTTTATGAAAATTTTGAACTTTTTGCGAAGCAGAGCGATTTTAAACACAAAATATCTAAGCGTTGCAGTGTGACTTAAATCTCTATAAAATAAGTTGATGTGCATGTGTTTAATGATAATTTTTGTCTGGCAAATAGCATTTTTTTATTGGCTCTCCGAAATCGCTGGGCCCCAAAATTTAATCAGTTCATTGTTTTGTGAATACAATAAAATGTTTTTTTAATCATTCAAATTGGACGCTCTGTTCTCTCAAAAATTAAATTACCATTTTTGGCACTTTGGCTCCGTATCTTTGAAACGGCTGGGGCTGCCTTTGTCAAAAACTAATTAGCATGTCTCCCTATCAATAATAATAATTCAAATTGATTGATACATGCGCCAGAAATCGTGGACGAAATGTTGTATCCACACAAAACATACATACACACATACTTCTATTTTTTCTAAGGTATGCCAATATTTTCAGAAACTTCTGAAATGTAATGATAAGCAAAAATTTTCATTTTAGATTTTGGGATGATTACTATAACTTACTTAATTTGTAAATTCTAGGAGTTTGAGTGGAATATAGTAATCATTGAAGAGTTGCCTTATGTTTCCCAAATTTTATTATACTATTTATGTCATTCAATGCTATAATATAACATATATAATGCTATATATATATATATATATATATATATACATATATATAAATAAATATAATTATATAATTATATATAATTATATTTTGTAGGATTCTGAATTTGATGTTGACATATGTATTAACAAAGTCTAGTAATTGGGCATAACATCAATAAAAAAAACATGTATTTCTTTCAAAAATTTATTTAAAATCCATATGTTTCGGTTATAATCCTAGCCTTCATTCAGTGGAAACTAAAAATGAAATTAAAAACCAAAATAATTGAATTGGAGTGAAAAGAAAAATAAAAAGAGTAAATAGTACTTATAATTAGTTAAGCTTAGTGTTAAATTGGAAGATTTTAATAATCCATGGTATCAGGATATGGTAATGCACTACACTATATATTACCAACATTAAACTTGTAATTACACAATATTTTCACAAAATACTAATTTAAAAAATCACAAATGGTTAGTGTGTTGTTCTTAGACTCTTTGAAGATATAATGGAGAAAAGGCTGTTTTAAAAAATATTTTTACCAAGATTCTACACATGTGTGGAACGAATTGCGAATCATTTGCGCGACGTTTTTATTGTTTTGTGAGAAATTTGGAAATGTTATCTAAATAAAAGAGATTTGTGTCGCAATAAAAGAGATTATTGTATAATAATTATAATATAGAAACTTGTGTCTGTGATTGATTTTCGCTATATCTCTGATGTCATTACACCACAAGAAGCAATTGAAATGTTGAAGTCAATGGAAGCAGGTAAAGAAAAAGAGAACTGAAGAACTTCTGGTTAAGGGTTATCCTGCATATACTACACAAATAGGTATATAAACTGTAATAAATATGAAGTTCAAAGAATAAACTTGTCAATGGAAACCAGACATATTATAAATGCTACAGGTTGGCTGGGATATTCTGAATTGCATTTTAGAGAATTATGTCACAAATATTTAGACCAAGGTTTTACTGCATTTAAATTAAAAGTAGGAAGCAATATGGATGATGATATTAATCGTTGCAGGATTATTCGTGAGATAATTGGTTGGAAAAATCAATTGGTAACATTATTTATTTGAACCACAGATATGAAGTATAAACTTCTATGAAAATTATATAATGGTTTAGATGTTGGATGCTAACCAAATGTGGGATGTGAACGAAGCTATTAAGTGGATGGAAAACTTAAGTGAATTTAAACCATTGTGGATAGAAGAACCTACATCTCCAGATGATGTTTTGGGCCATGCAAATATTTCTTCTGCATTAAGGTATCAATTACAAGTATTTGTTGAAGAACAGAATGCATGCATAAATTGTCTAGTACACATACACAGACACACCTATATATATAATTTCAGTAAAGTAGAAGTTTTCATATAAGCCGAATGAAGTCAGATGACGGTTCATGACGATCGTATTAGTCGATTGAAGTCTCGCATGACTTATATCATTTTTTATTTTTATATTTAGTGTTATTAATTTTTTTTGTTTATTCAAATTTTTGTTCATGCATATTGTATCACAGTAAATATCTTTTTACTCGATAATGAGTTGATTTAAATCAAGTAAACTATCATATCTATCTGTCTATCAGACCCTTAGGAATTGCAGTTGCGACAGGAGAAATGATAGCAAATCGTGTAATGTTTAAGCAATTTATGCAAGCTAATGCTATGGAGTTTTGTCAAATAGATTCTGCCAGGATAGGAGGGGTTAATGAAATTTTATCTGTGTATTTGATGGCAAAAAAGTTTAATAGTAAGGATTTTTATATTTGTTAATTCAGTAACATCAAAATTATTTCAAATCATCATAATTTTTATATAACACATGAATTTGGATTTTTATTTGATAATTAATTCATGCACAATCAGATCATAGAATATAAATTGAAATAATAATTATTATTTGTTACTCAGTTTTGTTCTATATATTATACAGATTTTATTTTAAATCGGAAATTCTAGGTAAATATATATTTTTTTAAATTCATTGTAGATTTTATTTATTGCAATGATTTATTAGGATAACATGATATTTTTGTATTTCTAGCTTAATCACAATTCATGCTTTTCTTTTTTTAATTTTGTACATCATATGACAGAATAATGTTACAGTTGAGTTCATAATTATTATTTTTGTTAAGTTAAAGTTTGTCCTCATGCTGGCGGAGTTGGTTTGTGTGAAATGGTTCAGCACCTACAAATGTGGGATTATGTTAGTTTATCTGGAACAATGGATGGGCGAATGATAGAGTATGTTGATCAACAGCATGAACAATTTATGAATCCTGTTGTGGTATTGAATGCTAAATATATTGCACCATCGGTAAGTATTTATGGTACTCTCCATTTCTATTGGTTACAAAAAGATAGTTTCTTTATATATTTAAGTTTAATTGATTTCAAAAATGTAACATCAGAACTGAAATGAAATTGTATTTGATTCACATTATTTTTTAATTTTATTGAATTTAATTTCAAGTTTTGAACTGCACTTTCCACATAACCGTAGTGAACTTTTTTATTTTCAATTAATTTAATTGCAGATATTACTTGTTTCTATTTGTTTAGATGCCTGGATATAATACTGATTTAAAGGAAGATGCTATTGAAATGTATGAATATCCAAATGGAAGCCAATGGGTCCAAATGTTCAAGGCAGGTATATTTCCAAAACCTACATAAAATCATTGGAAAATATTGCCACAACTACGGTAAAGTTTTACTGGAAATGATTAATTCAAAAGTATATAAATATCAACATTTTGTAATTATATATAAATAATACAATATTACTATTACTATTGAACAATAATAATGACTAAACTCATAATAATGAGAATTTAGTCCAGTTAAAATTATGCTTTATTATATGCAAAGGCACTTAGTTTTGATTGTTTTGTATTTGTGGGCTGGTTTTCTTGGTCATCAGATAATTTCCTTTTGTTGCCTCTACTTTTGAATAATCTCATAGCAAGTTTTGTCAGTTCACCGCTGGATTTATTTGGAAATTCATTCTCCAAATTTTTCTTCTCTTTGTTGAACCAACTCATAAATGTTTCATTCTGGAAAATTAACAATTATTGATTATTCAATAAAATTCAATTCATTTATTAAAAATGAAAGTCAAATACTTACCACTTCAGTATCACTTTCAACAGATTCATTATTTATATCTGTTCCATGTGTAGGAGTATTTGAAGTTTTGAAACCAATGACTTTATCAGTTAAGTGCTGCAATGGATTTGGTGTTCCGAAATTTGGTGTTAAATTACACCTGAATGGGTTACGACCTTGAGAAAATGATTTAACTGCTAACTGTAAAAATAATTCAGAAAGTAGTATACAATATATTGAGATAACTTTTAACATAACAACTTTCAGTACTTACTGGTGCAACTACAACAGGTGTGATATTTTCATTAGTTGTATTCTTTGTTAACAAACTGTTATTGTGAATATTAGGTGTTCCTATATCTACAGAGACATCATTTTGTTGTTCAGCAACCTAAAATATATACCAAGTAAAGACCATGTCTACCTCTCATTGCATAGGTAGCTGAAATATTCTAAACATATTGGAAAAGATGCAAAAATATGTTTACCATTGTTGGTGTTTCAGGTCGCTCTTCCATATTTCTTGCTAGCATTCCCAGCTTATCTGCTAAGTGCATTCTTCCAAGTTTACTTGCATATTTAATAGCAAGATTTAATAATTGCTGAGAGCCAATTAGTTCTACCAATTCTTGAGCTCTTTGTTCTAGTTCACTTCGACAAGCCAACTAAAAGAGTATATACTTATGAGAAGTCTGTATTAAAAACAATACATCCATCTTAATAAATGTACCGCAAATAATTTAATAGCAGTCTCTTTAAATTGTTTTTCATCTGGATCTGCATTCCACAAGGACCACCTACATATCTGTTCTTCCAAACGTGATTTATCTGTCTCCGACTCGCACATAGAAAACTGAAATGTTATATATTAATTGCAGATTAATATATCAAATTAGCAATATTTATAATAAAACTGTACCTGCAATGGCAATTCACTAACGACAGGTCTTGGTGTTGTTTGTGGATACTTTGATCCCCTGCATAACACTGCATATACAACCTGCTTTATTTCACTTACTTCAATGATGAAGAATCTATCAGACACTCCTTTAACCTTAAAAAAAATATTCATCCATGCATGTAAGTCAACTTTTAGAAAATCAAGAAAATTTAAATATACTTCTCATAAAATCTACTTTTTTTTCTTTGCACTTTGATATAATATCAAAGAAATATGAGTGCATGAAAAATATTTACATGCGACGCGGTATCACACAAAGGCATCCAAACTCCAGACGTCGTAATATATATTTAAGACTTCCATGTGAATCGAAAAAAGCAGGAGATCCTTTGTCTGTAAAGCCCAACCATGATAGTTCAGCAGTCGGACCCAGTGGCAATCGCATATCAATACTTTTCAGTTTAAGTCCTAGAATTACAAATAGACTTCTAAATCTTTTATCTCCTATTCATTTATTTATTATTTCTGAACTTTACCAATGGCCTGTATAAACATCATATTTATATTTTGATCACCTCCAACTAATGCTGACGAGTTATGATAAGCAACTAAAATTTTATTTCCATAACCTGCTAGGCATATTATTGGACCAGGAATTGCAATAACCTTAAAAATCATATTTATAATGAATATTATACTTTGATAAATATAATCAACATAGTACTTAATATGTACACTTTTTAGTTCTTTACAACAAAGCCTCAAAAAAGTAGTGGTTGTACTATATGCATATGCATATAAATATATATATATATATATATACACCTAAGTCTGTTTTTACACGAAGATTGGTTCCAGAAGAAGCCGTGTAAAAAAAAAACGTGTAAAAAAAGACATTGATCTTATACAAAATGGGTGATTTGTCCTGCTCTCTAAAACCTATTAAAATTGGTGAAAAACAAGAATTTTTAAGAACAAAAATTAAATTAGTGCTATTCACATTTGCTTTGACCAGTAAAATTGTTTGTACGCGCTAAAGGGGAATTCACTTAAATCTTTAAGCTAGTGTTCGCAAACTATCGATACTATCGATGGTTTCAGACTTTTTCTTTCATAAATACTTTTTTGTGATATGAACATACTTCGCAAAAATTTAATTTGACAAAAAAAATTTAGGTACATAAAATTTCAAATCGTGCTAAATGGAATAAATTCGTGTAAAAAAATTAAAAATATTCAATTTTCAAACTGTGTTATATCAAAACCGTGTACAAAAAGACCGTGTAAAAACAGACTTAGGTGTATATATATATATATACATATATATCAGCATCAAGCCGAAACAAGGTGATTGACCTTAGCTGTCCCGAAAAAATTAAGAAAAAAAAATTCTCTCATGTTTGGAAGTTATGAGCATTTAGTACAACCAAGAGCTTTGGTAAAATTATGACCATTTTTCAGTTATTAAATTAAATGTTATTCAGTGAATAACATTTATAGGACCAGAGCAAATTAATTTCATAAACGCCCCAAGTTTTAAACAATTAAGATTTTTTTGTTGAACTATGAATTTAAAATTTTTAAAATTGGTCAACTTTGAGTGACAGTTAAGGCCTAGGACACCCTGGAAATGAAATTGAAAATTCATTTACTTCTCTTTGAGTTCCAAAAACAGTGAACAGTCTTAATATCCTTTGGTCAGTAGCAACCGCTACCAATTTGTCACCTGCCCCAATGGCTAATATTTCTTCATCTTGTGGCATTTCGGTAGACCATTCTCTGCCAGATGCTCCCAATGTGATACAAACAAGTTTGCTAAATTGAATTTTATTTTGATATTCGATTTTAGTGTAATATTTTTTGATAACAAAATATATAGTAGGATACAAATAATGAAGTATATTAAATAAGAACTTGGAGTTTCACAAGCCATTGCTAAAACGGAATTTGACAAGCTGGCCATCGTATGACCCAATAATTATTCATATGAATTCCATGATGCGTTAATGAATCATGAAATTCGACTTCTATTGAGTTCTCAGATTCAGATATGTGAGATCGAACAATTCCTATACCATTCCAAACCATATATCTATGCTCTAAATGCGCAGGTGTTGAACCTGGTTGAAATGGAGGTTGCAATGGAGTTATCGGTAGTACTGGTGATTTTCTATGAACACTGGCTGAAGATGAAGCTCTATCTAAAAATAGATTAAAAAATATATATATATTAACATGTTACAAACATTTCTTCCATAATATGAAGTTCAATACAAATATGCATAAAAAAAACATACCAGTGTCCAAAGCAATTGTTTCTGGTTTAAGGGTTTCATTTTTAATTTTTTCTAATGATATCACATTCTCATTGTCATTTTCATCTTCCTCAGAAAGTTCTAGAAATGTTTGAATTATATTATTAAGCGTTATAAATAATGCATGAATGGCAAGCAATTTATTTCAATATCATATATACCTAAATTGTCCTCGAAGTCCAAATCATCATAGTTATTTAAAGGACTTCGTTCAGGAGCAATATTAGACCCATAACAATCTTCAATAGTTCCTAATTGGCCAAATACATCACAAAATGCCAATTCTCCATTTCCCGATGGGTTCCAAGCCAGTGAGCAGACATTATATGAGTTTGGGTGCTCTGAAAATACCTTACAATTTTGAGTTGAAACATCCCACACACAAATTTGACCAGTAGATGTTGAACCAGCAATGTGAGTTCCGCATGGAGAAAATACACATATTGAGAAGGGGTGATCAACCTGTTCGAAGAAATAATTTAAAATAGCAAATCGATAAAAATTTTATTTACTGACGTTTTCTCTAAATGAATGTGAATTAAAGCCAAATCAGGTATTATCTCAAAGGAGGTGGTTGAAAATATACCTTAGTATGTGAAAAACAAAAAGACGTTCCATGATGTTGTATCCAATAGCACAATTTCTTTACCACAAGGATAAGCTAAGTATTTTCCACTAACTGGTTCAAAATTAGACATTCCTACAAAAAGTGCTTATTATTGTATCTGTATATCAAGTTAATGTGAATAAAAAATCATCACCTAAAACATTGGCAGCTGCAAAATTCTTCGCTTTAGGTAGAGAATTGAATAAATGTATTTGACATTTATCCTGCAAGGCCCAAATTCTTAATGTTCCATCAGTAGAAGTTGATGCAACATATTTTTCAGTTGGACATATCGAAACAGATAATATTGCTCCTTCATGTCCTGATAATTTTATAGATTGACCTCCGGTTTTTGGAACAACACTTATTTCAGAATCTTGAGCTCCAGCTACAAGTAGCTAAAATGATAATTGCACTTACTATAATGATTTCATTTTATAAATGATATGAGTATTATCTGCACTGTGTTATTTAATTATTTTGTCCTTCCTTTGTTCAATCATAAGAACTCTTCTGATCTGATCTTAACACTTGCGTATACCTGAGATCCAACAGCCAGATGCGAAGCAGGAGCAGTGAAGCGTTCGAGAACTATATCTTTATCACAGCTTGGATAGTTATAAGATTGAACTGTATTATTATCTAAAGCCACAAATAATTTATTTTCCTTGAATACTATACAAAGTGCCCATTCTCCAACACAATGTGAAGTAGGATCATCATCTTGCAGACCAGCCCAAACTCTAAAATCACCATCGCTACCACAGG